TTTTATAATAAGATAAATAATTAAAATCAAGAAAGAATAATAAGATTAAACCATAAAAAATATACTTTTCTTTCTTAAACTATAAAAAAGGATTATTATTTTAAGACAAATTCAAAAAATATTTGTCTCCTAAAATTGATAAATAAAAATTGACATATATAAAATAAAGCACTAAATCCTTAATTAGTACCTTTTGTGTTTGAATTTCAACTTAATTATGTACTTTATTATAAGTATAAAGTCATATACTTTTTTTTGTCTATGTATTATTTTTTGATATTTATAATCAAAGTGTTTCCAAATCAACTTTTTGCATCTTGAGACTAATCTTTATCTAGACTATATCTAGACTATTTTAAGGACATACTTCTCATATCAAACTATTGCATTCAATAAAGTTTATGTTTATATATTGTGTATGAATTATATTATATGTTTTGCAATAGGTTTAATTATATTTTAATTTGTATTAAAAAGTTATAATATTCAACAAATAGATAAGCACATCTGTGAATATACTTATACTCAACGAGTTGAATGGTAAAGATAAATTTTTAATACTTGAATAAATACTAAATAGTAAAATTTTATATCTATTAATTTTCAAATTAAATACAAATATAAACAAATACTTCATCCATGTACTTGCTTAGCCCACAAATGTACATAAATAAAATCAAAAATTATGAACTCTAGAGATCTCTTAAACCTCCCAAAACTTACAGTTAAAGGAATAGTAATAGGCATTAAGAATTTTTCTTTTTCTAGTTATAATCTTTTTGAACCTTAATAAAATTCAAAATTATTAATCTATTTCCTTTAAAAAAAATAAATTTACTTGATTACCTACCATACTTTTGAAAAATGTCCTTGTGATTGACTCAATTAAAAAGTTAATAAAAAGAAATAAATAAACATAGCTAATAATTGAGAAAAAAAAGTTGGTACAATATTAATGTAAAAAGATAATAATATAGAATATAATGTGGCATTGGTGTATCCTATTATAGTCAAATTGGAAGAAAAGAATAATATAAAAATATATGTTAAACGTCAAACCGTTAAGCTTTACAGGTTAAAAGTGACGGAGGGATGAAATTGATTACTTTTTGAATTGTAGAGAGAGAACATGTGAGCTCAAAATGAAGTAGAGGGATGACCTGCGGTGATTCCATAGTATGAGGGTAAAATTGACCTTTTTCACAAAGTAGAGGGATGACAGTTGGCTTTAACCCAATTATAACCCCACGTCTGGCCAATAAAAGTCTAATGTCTGCTCCTACTTTATTTCTATTACGTTTAATTTAAGCCAAAATTTAAATTGTGATACAAAAGAAAGACTGCATCAGAGCCTGGA